CCCCTTAATACAGTTCCTCATGTTGTGGTGACCCCCAACCATAAAATTATTTTCATTGCTACTCTATAACTGTAATTTTGCTACTGTCATGAATCGTAATGTAAATATCTTTTTGTTTTCCGATGGTCTTAGGCGATCCCTATGAAAGGGTCGTTCGACTCACAAAGGGGTCGCGACCCACAGGTTGAGAACCGCTGCCCTAGAATCTTTCCACTACCCAATCCGGCCACCATCATTTCTCACTTGGATTACAGCATCAACTGTCTAATCACAACCCCCTAATACTTTCCATCCCTCCTACTTCTTTCTCCATTCTGCAAGCACAGCAATCTTTTCAGAATGCAAACTCATTCCTCTATTGAAGATTTCAAGTTATATGCCAGTGCCCTCAAAATAAAGACTGCGCTTTTTATAAGGCCTGTGCCTTGACCTCAACGACAGCTGCCCTCCCCCACTGCCATTACAGCTACTCTTTCACCTGCGTAAGCGCTGTGCTACCCATTCCAGACTCTGGCACGTAATATGCACGCTGCCTGGGATACATTTCCAAGCTCGTGCCACTCACCTCCTTCCCTGGAGTCCCAGTTCTTTACTGCTGGTGACACACAGACTGACTGCCTTTTCTGAGGTCCCTTAGTTAAATCCAACAAACATTTGAAAACCTGCTAATGGCCACCCAATGCCAGCATCAAATTAAGAGGAGGATCTTGGAGTTCAGAGGGTCAGTGTAATTTCTTTTTTTATATATACGTCCACAGGCATTTGATCTACATGATAGCACACAGGCCTGTGCATACACAGACGCATATTTGTACCTTTAAAGGAAATCAGATACATACAGAACTACTTTCTCAACTTGAAATATTGTTGCTATTTCTTCCACATTGCATGCTCATTTCTTCCTCCAAAATAAAATACAGACTTAAAAACTTTTAAATCCCACTGCATTCCTCTCATCCAACTTTACATGGAGCAAAAACATGAGCTGGAATTAGATAAGCCAGAGAAATAAGCAAACTGAGTGGAAAATACACATAGAATAACTCATTCCAGCCAGCATGATGTAATAGAAAAAAAGCATAGTCCTGGTAGCCAGGAGACATAGGTTTTATTTCTGACAATGACACGCACTTGCTCTATAATCCTGGGTGAGTTGTTTAATCTCTCTGGACCTCAGTTGTATTATCTTCTAATGAGAGGGTTGAATCTCCAAGATCCCGCTAAAGATCTGTGCAAAGTGGGTCCTGATAAAGAACCATCACGATTCTAATTTGAGAAGCTGTGTAAGACAAAAACGGTGCCAGGAATGAATCTTATACCAATTTAACTACTTTCAAGTAAAAACGGAAAGATGTAATCATTCCCATTGTATCTTAACAATCACCCTTGAGCAGAGCTTATAACTTAAACAAAAGTTAAATTTTCACCTTGGGATTAACTGCAAGGGTGAAAATCACGGCAGAAATTTAAGTTACGAACACCAGTTTTAATAATTGTGTATGCATTTTAGCTCTTGAAATTTGTTCCTGAGAAAGGTGACATTGACCTGTTGGAAGAACATAAACATGAACTGGATCGGATGGCCAAGGCTGATAGATTCCTTTTTGAGATGAGCCGGTGAGTTTAAAAATGCTTAAAAAGGAAAGACGCCCCCTACCTTTCTTAGGAAGTTAAACCTTGGATTCATGTTAAATGGTTCGGTCAATTAACCTACTATAACGTGAAGCCTTTTTGTTTTGTTTTGTTTTGTTTTGTTTTGTTTTGTTTTGTTTTGTTTGGGGTTTTTTTTGGTTTTTTTTAAAGATCTTTATTGGGGAATTGGAGAATGGCAACAGCGCTGGGGAATTGGGGGAAGGGAAACAGACAAGTTGCTGTCCTTTTGTTCTTCAGTCTAGTTGTGGAGGACGTTGCTTCACTGGCCNTCAGCATCTTAGCTGTGGAGGGCAGTGTCACTGGCCCTCATATGTGGGATCCAAACTGGGGCCCTCTGGTGTCCCAAGCCAGTTCTTAACCATCGCGCCACTCGGCCAGCCCCGAATGGGCCTTATTTTAGAACGTGGGCAGGTGGGCGTGTTGTTGACTAGATGCTGTATTCGGGAATGAAGACATGAAATAGAAGAAAGTGGTTCTGGATGCCCAAATGTGTTCTTCCCTGTCCTGCTTGTTGGCACATGAAACAACATTCAGTGTAAATGGCAGGATGGATGGTTTTAACAAGGTCATGTCAAAACCCAAAGAAAAGGTCAAGCCAGAGGTGTCCAGAGTGGACTGAGTCCCGCCCAGCTCCACCCTCGGCTGTCTTTCCTCCCTCCGTGGCCTCTGTGTCCGCCCCTGCCTTCATCCAGCCCTCTGTTGATCTGTGAGAGCGTGAGTGAGCGTGCGTGCTTTACATGCCCTTGTGTTTTGAGTGTTTTCGCTTATCATTTGTTTCCCCCAAACATTATAACCACCTTTAAAATAAATACCATGTCTTCTCATTCTTTTTTTTAATACTTCTCGGCCTAATGGGTGTTGTGTGCAGAGAGGAAACTCTGGTGCAATAATGGGTATGAGAGTGCTTTGGGAAGTGTTCATAATAACCCTACTAAGTGCTGTTTAATGATCAAAAGCTTCCCATGAATATTAGGGTTCCATAAGTACTACTGCTTTTTTAATTCTGGGGTAGAAAAGTCTGCCTTATAGGGTACATGTACAGTTTATTAAGAAGCCCTTTCAATGGCCAGGCACTATGCTAAACACTGTACATGCATTATTATTTCACTTTTTACACACACATACACATACATTCGCACAAGTAATGTGAATATGCCACATTAGCTTGTAAGGAAGTAACATTTTTAAAGTAAATCTGGGTCTAATGCTTACAAATAGAACAAAAGAGTGACTCTATTGTTACAACTAATAATCTGATTAAAGACCTTTTGCCCTGGTTAAGACTGTTGGTTGTGTCTACTAAAAACACATTTTTTACAAATATGTTTTCATTTCATGACTCTTTACAGTCAACATTTTGTTGTCCTGACATAATCAAGCCATGAATCCTTAATTAAATTAGTAAATCATATAAATTTATGGTAGACAGAAAACAGATTTGTGTTTTTGCGTAAATCCTTCCCTAGGAGATACTAATTAGATAAGCAATATTTTTATAAAGAATCTTGGGTTTGTGTTAGATACTGCCACTTTCTACATGTTTGACCTTGGGCAAATCACTTACCCATTCTGAGCCTCAGTTTCTTTCTCTGTTAATAAAAAATGACCATCATAGTATTTTGAAGTTCAGATAAAATCACGTGAAAAGTCCTTAGCTATGAAGTGCTTGTAAATTTTATTTTGTATATTAACTATTGTTCAATTTTTTAACAATAACATACGGTAGATTCTAACCTTAAAACCCATTTTTAATATGACACCAAACTTTAAACACTTCTGATATATAATAAAATTGAGAATTTAGTCCTCTTTCACCTGCAATTCATGGATACATTTGTATGGATGTTGTCCCCATTTCTCATCCCCCAACCCCTTGCGTAAGGAAACTAAATGACAAAACATAACAGCTGTGTTGTCTGTGTCAGCAGAGCATTACAAAGCCCTGAAAGCGTGTTAAAGCAGTTTCAAAATACTACTTTTCTGTGTAGTATTGTCAGGCAATAAGCTTTTACTGAGAGATTTTGAGCAAAATGGCACTTGACAATCAGCAGTTGGAGTAGCAAAATGAATTATCTTACATTGAATGTTAATACTCAAGCCCGCACTGTTAACAACAAAATAAAATATTCTTTCTCCAGGTTGAAATTATCCAATGATGAAATCAAACGGGCAATTCTCACAATGGACGAGCAAGAAGACCTGCCTAAGGATATGTTGGAACAGGTGAGCTGTCAGACTCATCTCAGTGCACAAGGGACCGCTGACTTTTCAGCAGGGAGGGAGATACTGAGAAAATCCGGTTGCTGCTGGTAGATGATTTCCTCATTTTTGCAATGAGGAGGTTGAACCAAGGTTCCATGCGACTCTGTTAGGAGACTTTATGGCTTTATTCTCTCGTTGTTCCTCATCATGCTGGGTGAGAAGAAAGGTGACAAGTTTGTCAAATGCCTGCAATCCACAATGCCAGCCCTGTCCCTCATGCTGCAATTAAGTTACTCTGCCTCAGTAGATCATGTATACCTACTGGCTTTAGTGGAGAATTTGTTTCACAGGAATATCAAGACTCACTAGCACAATGAGCTCACACACTGTACCACATAAACTGATCCATTGCTAAATCCGTAATGCAACTTGTGTCTTGGTCTCAGCTCACCGCTCCCATAATAAAAACCCCTGTTAAACCCCTAGCATTGTCATCTACATCAAAATACTCGTATGTGTCATAAGGTGGGGTGCAAATTTCTTGGGGCTAAGTCTTGTCTCCAAGTTGTGTGGCACTCCTCTTGTGTCATAAATGGCAGCACATTCAAGTGCTGGGGCCAGCAGGTTTGGATGGATTTACACGCAGTCAACACACATCCTTGTCCATGGTATTTGGAGATCATTTGTATTATCCGTGGCAGGCAACAAGTCGAATGTGGTGACATGGCCTCTCTCTCTTCATGCAGTATTTCTATAACATGATCTGTGTAGCCATTCCAACTGTGTTATGTGTTGTTCAGCAGCTTTGCTCAGTTGTCCCCTGAATGACAGTGTTGTTAACTAGCAGATATTCTAGGGATTATCACCTGTCTCTTGGTCTGGGCCTAAATTTTCCTTTGCTTTGTAGAGATAGTCTCAGAATGCTCGAAGACTGCTCTGTCTGCTTGTCTCATCATCCTTGGGACAGAATCATATTTTGAATGATTTTGGACACGTGGACCATGTTTATTAGAGCCAGGTCCACTTAAGGTTGACAGTGGACACAAGCAATCATGATTCCAGGTTGAACTTGAGGTCTCATCTGTAGGCGTGCCCAGCTCCCAAGAGATACGTTCCATTTCTAACAGTGACCCTGGGGGGCGAGGCTGCCCCAGGTGGGGTGCCTGTTTGTCTGCGTGTACATTTTTCTTGGTTCTTACTGGTGTCCTTAAAGGTCCCAGACACAAAGAAGGGAGGAGTGGTGTGTGCAGTGTCACCACATCTAAACGGACCTGCCCTCCCTGAAGCCACTACAGCTGTAATCGTCCTAGGTGAAAACCCTCACACCTCACAGTGGAATAACTTTTTATGCTGACCTTCGAAGGTTTGATTTAGTTGTCAAAATAGTTAATGACTGCATTCCCAAGTCTATTAGGATGCTCTGTGTATGAATAGTTTAAAAGTAATTCTTAAACCTAAAATTCATTTTTCAGAGCATTTTACAGCTCCCTCTCTCGCTGTACACCAGTCAAAACAGTCTCTACCCCGAGACAGTGCAGCCAGCTGCCCTCTGCCCTTCCCCGGCCCCCAGGTGGTCCTGCGCTGCAGTTGTCGGCATCAGACGTTGCTCACCCAGAGTGAAGAGCTGTGCAGAAAGCTGCTTTCATCCTTAGGCCTTCAGCCCCTATTGACAAGGTCATATGTTTAAAATTCCACAAGATCTGTTTACTGTGAAATTGCATCCAACAAAATTCTTCCTTGAGGGAAAGGATTTCAAAAGCTTGCCAAAAGGACTTACAGTGCAAATAGAATGTACTTCAAATAAATAAAGCAGGAAAATGAGCCTACCGAAGCAGAGCCTGGCCAACCAGGGTACGTTTGACCTGGTCTCTCCTGATAGTTCTGTGTGTCTCATCTGGCATGCGCCTTCTTTTCCTCCTGATTCTAACATCCCCCGTCTTGTTTCCTTTCCCTTCAGACAGCACCCTTCCCAGACACGCACTCAAGCCAACACCTGTGCTCCTCTCTGTGGCTCGCATTTGAGGCCCCTTCATTCCCTCCGCTCCTGCTGCTTTGAGCTGCTGGGCTCAGAACTCAGTTGAGATCCACATACTTATTCTTGGAATGGATACCTTTCTCCTGTTCCCAGGTGTTCCCAGGTCCAACTCTTCTCCCCTCTTCGCACACTGTCTGATACTCCACTCTGCTTTGAGAAGGACTGAGCCTTTAGCAGGCTCCTCTCGCTATACTCTTGCACGTAACGAAAGAGAACGTAGTGATTGTGTTAAATCAGGAACGGGGCCTGGGCTCAGCTCAACTACCTGGGGGGTGATGCCTGAAATTTCCTTGCCCAGCAGGTAAAAATCCAGACAAAGGGGGAACGAATAAGCCTTTCTCTCTCCTCCTCCTCCTTCCCTCCTTTCTTGCACTGAGGAAGAACAAGAAGATTCTCGTCCTGTCCACTGTCACTACTTGAACATGGGAACATAAGTGACTAGAAGCTAACAGACCACCAGACCTCTGAACTCTCTGACATGTGCTGTCTTCTCTCCCCTGCTTCTGCCCCATCAGGAAAGAGGAGTGTTCCTGGCCCATCCCTTCCTCTGCCCCTCCCCTCTAGATCTTTCGCCTCTCCCTCTCGCCATGTAACTTATTTAAGCCTCAGCTTTTCTCACTCTCACACACACACACACACACACACACACACACACACACACACATCTAGCTGCTGCCCTGGCTCTGTTTTGATGCAGCCAAAGTTTTTGAGAACTTGTCCCCACTTCCCTCCTGTTCACTCTTCTTCAACTCACTGGAGTCTGTCCTCCTCGCCTTCCTAAAGCTGTTCTCACTAAGGACACACAAATTCCCTGTTGCCAAAGCCAGGGGGCACTTTGCAGTCCTTATCTTCCTTGATTTCCTGGTAGTGTGTGACACTAATGGCCACTTGCTCCCGATGAAACGCCTTCTTCCTCCAGCCCTGTGATTTCACAGAGGCCCCTCCATTGGCTCCTTTGAAGGTTCCTCCTTTTCTTGTCCTCATCCCTTAAATGCTGATTTCTCTCGAGCCCTGCTTTTTTTTTTTTCTCTTGATGGCTCCAGGCACCTCACTCACATCCATGCATATTACAACCAGCACCAGTGCTTTGTCTTCCAAACAGATCTATTTAGGATTTCAGACCCATTTGTCCATCTGCGTACTAGAAATCTCTCCTTGGGTTCCCTTGCCAGTATTTTAAACACTAAACTCACCTTCTCCCCACCCACCCTCAGCCAACCTTGTCTTCCTGGGTTCCTTGTTATACTCTGTGTACATTTTTTGCCTAAGCCAGAAGCCTGGGCCTCATCCTTTTGACCCTCATCTACTATAATTCCTACCAACAAGCCGGGCCAGTTCTATTCAAACCCCCTAAATAGCTCTAGAACAGTGGTTCTCAACCTACCTAATGCCGCAACCCCTTAATACAGTTCCTCATGTTGTGGTGACCCCCAACCATAAAATTATTTTCATTGCTACTCTATAACTGTAATTTTGCT